CCTACACATGCTCCAGCCCCTCTCTCCATGTGGGTCCCAGCCACACTCCAGACGTGTCCCAAGCCATGAGCACATGGATCCCGAAATAGCCGCAGGGCTCCTCTCTTGGAGTGACAGCCCGGCTATAAATAAATCCACTCGCTCCGGTGGCCGAGGCTGCGCTGCTCTAAGGGCTCTTTGGACAAGGTGTGATGCCATCGGCAGGGAATGTCTCCCAGTCCCGCGTTACGAGCTTCCAGCAGCGCCAGGTTCTATTTAACCCGCGCTGGCTCCTCGCGGTGACACATCGGGGCTGAGGTCAGCGCCGACCCCGAGGGATGAGCCCTGGGAGCCGCGTGCGGCCACGTCTGCCCCACTCCCCGCGGAGCCCCCGGAGAGAAACCGGCGCTTCCAGGGCCGTGATTCATCCCATCCCGCAGAAATGCCTAAATTAGGGCAGCGGGAGCGTCCGGGGCTGCGGCTCCCCCGCTCCGAGGGAGCTGTGCCGGGGCAGAGGCTCCCGGCGGATATTTACAGTCCATGAGATAATTCCCACCCTCGGCCTCGCCGGGAGCGGGGCCAGGACTGACACTCGGACACGGCCCTGCAGTGAAGTCACAGCCTGAAAAAACTCACCGAAAGTTCCTTGGAAAACCTCCCGCTGCATCTCTCCCCTCGTTAATCCCCCCTCGGAGCTGGCAGGGTCTCGAGGGGAAAACGATCCCAGAGATCAGGAGCAGGCCCTGCCAGCAGGAGATCTGTTTGGTTTTGTTACAGAGGTGGCTCGGCAGGGTTGAGAGGGTTTTTCGGTCAAAAGGTGACTCAGCAAGGCTGAAATGTTTTGCTCGTTGAAATGTGGCTTGAGGGGGGTTGAGTTGGGTCTTTTAAATAAAAAATGGCTTGGGGGGTTGGGATCTTTTTTTTTTAATAAAAAAACAGTTAGAGGGGCATTTAGAGGTTTTTTAATAAAAAATACCTTGAGGTGCTGAAGTGTTTGGTTATTTTAATAAAAGGTGGTTGGGGGCATCTCTGTGGTTTTTAGACTTTAATGTTTGCGGTTTCAAGCTTTTCTTTACACCCCAGAGGACTCCAGACTTTTCTCTTTCCAAGGAATCCCAGAGAATCTCCAGCTGGAAGGATGCCCTGAGGCTCCTCAAGCCTACGCTTGTATGAAATAGGATTTAAGGGCTCCCAGGAAAATGGGGAGCAGCTCAGCTTTCCCCAGGTCTGGCCCCCGCCAGCAGGAGCAGGTGATCCACCTCTTACCCCACAATCCAGTCTGACCATCCCTAATGGGAATCAAATCCCATTTGATCCATCCACGGCTGCCATTCCTTATGTTGACTGAGCCTGGCCGTTTTCCCTGCTCTGGGAGTGATTTATTGCATTTCCTTCCCGGTTATTGCATTTCCTCATGGAAATCCTTTTTCCTCTTCTTTTGGAGGAGCCAAAGGACCCCCAAGCTCCAAGTCCCTCACGAACCCCCTTTCCTCTGCTTCTCAGACCATTCCCATTGTTCCTGGTTCCAGTTCTCCCAGTTTCTCAGTCTTTTAAAGCCATTGATACATTGCAGCTGGATCCTCTTTGTTCCCAATATTTAGCACAAGGCAAAAACAACTCCCAATCCCTGCTTTCCTGTCTCAAGCTCCCCAATCCCAGGATCCCACTGTTTTTGCCCAAACTGTGGACATTTAATGGTTTCTCAGCACTGACAGATGACATTTCCCTTCCCCTTGGCCTTGTCCCACTTCTGGCCTGTGCTGAGAGCAGCTCCACCCCCAAATTGGGGGTGAAAACCCGATTTTCATACACTTCCCGGCTGGATATTTATTAATGGGACCTTCAGATGCTTCCAAATCCCAGAATTTAGGAAAACATGTTACTTATTAACCAGCTTTTGGGCTGCAGCCCTGTTTGCCCTGTTGTCACACACCCTTGTCAGCAGAGATCCAGGGAGGATGGCCTCAGGATTTGGGCAACAGGGGAGGGAATTTGATGTGTCTGTGGGTGTTATCAATCCCCCCTTGCAGCTACCACCAGGCCCTGGACATGGACTCTGAATTCCCTGGGAAACCCCTGGAGGAAAAGCCAGAATGGTCTGGGAACAGATAAACCATGAGGGAGCTGGGAACAGCCCCTGAAGGTCCTGGCCCACAGTCTGGGAGGAGGGCATGGAAAACCTGTGCTGTACCCTTGGGAAAAAGAGGAAATACAGGGATGTTTATCTGTCTGGGCACGTCTGGGCTGCAGGTGCAGGTGTGGATGCTCCAGATCCAGCACAGGGACTCACAGCAGAGAGATCTGGATGGGAGGGATGAAAAACCTGAATGGAGAACCAGGAACAGAGAAATAGGATGGAGAACTTGGGTGGAGAACCAGGAATGGAGAACCTCCATCAGGATCCTGCCTGGGAGGTGTATCCCGACAGGAAAGGCTGACTCACGCCCTGCCTCAGTTTACCTCAGCCGATGGGAAGATGGCTTTGGGAAGTCAAACCGCCAAACCTTTCCCAGCTTCCTCCAACAACTCATTCCCAATTTATCCCGATGCTCCTGTGCCTTGTCCTGACCCTTCATGGGATGCTCTGGCAGTCCAGTGTTGGTCCCACAGCTGCGCTCCCGAGCAGAGCTGGGCTGAGCCCAATCCCATAAACCCCGGAGCCCCCGGGGCCGTGACACCCTCTGGGATTGGCACCACGTGGCCGCGACCCCTCGGGATCGGGCAGCGGCTCCGAGTGGCCTCGTGCTGTGCTGGGAAAAGCATGAACCCCCCGCCCCCCCAAACAAAACTCCGGGCGGAACAACCCGCGGATCCCCCCGAGGTGGTTTGGCAGCGCGGGGCGGGGGAGGAGGAGGAATCCCGGGGCCGGGAGCGCAGGAGCGGGGCGGCTGAGGGAGGCTTGGACACAGGGATGGGAGCGAGGAATGCCCCGGCTAATCCTCCCGCCCGCTGCCGCCTATTTAGGGAAGAACCGAGGAGGCCGCGCTGGGCTCCTGGCATCCCTCCCGGCCCCGCTGGCCGAGCCCCGGCCCCGCGCCCCCTCCTCCCGCTGCTCGGGGTCAGCCCTCGGCAAAGCCCCCTCTGCAGAACCGCCCCCGCCTCGGCCCGAGCGGAGCTCCGGGGCCCGGAGAGGCGAATTGCCGCTCCTCCGGCCGCCCCAGCGTGTGCCGAGGGCGCCGGGAGCCAGGGATGAGGCGCCGGGAGCCAGGGATGAGGCGCTGGGAGCCGTGATCTCAGGGAGCAGCAATGCGAGGGCGCTGCCAGCGCGGCCGCCGGCCCAGAAATGTCCTTGTCCCGGCACGGCGCTGTCCCTGGCACTGCCCGGGGCACACACCATTGTCCCCGGCACTGCCCGGGGCACACACCATTGTCCCCGGCACTGCCCGGGGGCACCACCGCGGGGACACGGGACAGCGCCGAGCCCGGGGCGGCTGCGGGGGCGGACCCGCTCCCGGGGGGCTCGGGCGCGTTTTGAGGAAGAAAAGAGGGGTCTGCCCCAGCTGAGCCGGCGGCCCAGAACTCCCGCTCCCCCTCGGCACCCCGAACTCCCCAAATTCCGTGGGTTTCTGCAGCTCCGAGCGTTCACTGCCAGGACACGCTCACGTCGGATCTGCAGCACGAATTCCAAGCGGCTCTTACGCCGCCACTTGGAACTCCCGGGATCCCACAGCGGAATGGGGCTGCGGGGGCAGCGCCCAGCTCCGGGGGGGCTTCTCCGCCTGCTCTCCCGCTGCGGGATGACGGATGCTGGTGCAGGATGACACCATCAGCCTCCCCTCATCCCAGGCGCTGAACTTTCCCAACTCTCTCCACCTCCTGGACCTTTTATTGGGAGCACTTGCGCCAAGGAGAGACTGAACTGGGGAACTCCTGGTTACAGAGCAGATGGATTTAATTAAAACCACTTAAGTCATTAAAGTGATTTGCCAACTAAATCAGCACAGCGAGAAACCTCCCACCAATTCCACCCACCCCCCCATCGGGTTTGTCCTTTTAACCCTTTCCTTGGGGAAGAGTCACGGGAGCAGTGGCCGGGTTCCGGTGAGGGTGGAAGAACCCAGGGACAACCATGTGTCCCCAGTGTCTCGGGGGGCTCCGGGACCCCGCGTGCGGCCGTCCTGGCACGGCGGCTTTGCTGCGGGACATCCTGGATTCGATCCCTGACTGGGTCCTGGTCGTGTCTGCCTGTGGCTCTGCCTTTCCCGGGAAATGAGCTCCCTGCCCGGCAGGTCCCGGCGCTCGGTCCAGCGCTGCCCTTGGTCACCCGACCCCGGAGAGCTCCTCTTTGCTGGCTCCCGGCTCCCGGCCCCTCGCGGCGCCCGAGGGAACATCCCGTCACGGCTCCGTGAACTCAGCACCCCCCAAATAGCCCGGCCGGCCCCCGGTGGGAGCGCTGCGGCCCCGGCTCCGGCCCGAGGATGATCTTACAGCCCGGGAAGCTCCAAACCGCCGCTCCTGCCCATAAAAAGCAAAGGGCTTTGGGCATGGAATCATCGGGGCTGCACGGATTACACCAGCGGGGGGGAAACGCTCCCGGGAGGCCACGCCATAGGAGAGGGGAGAGAGGAAAGGGGAGAAGAAAAAGGGGAAAGGGCAGAGGGAGCAAGACAGGGGGTGGTCGGAGCCCCAAAGTGTGGCTCAGTCCCGGCACCAGCCCCTCCAAGGGTCTGTAAAACACACCCAGAGCTTTGCTCCCATCATTCCACTCCTCAGCCACCTCATCCCGATGGGAAAACACGCCCCAAACTGTGCCCCAGAACGAGTTATCGGGAACACAGACAGGGTGGCAATCCCTTATTTTTCCGATTGCCCCCAAATCCCGGGCTATCCCGTGCCACTGGCTCTGGAGACCACCCTGGGGTGCCAGGGAGCCAGGAAAAGCTGAGGAGCAGACTCCGGGCACCTCCGTGGCAGCAGAACCCGCCCGGCTGCAAGAGGCCACATGGGGAAGTCCTTCCCATTGGGAAACCAAGCTTTCCAGGCAGGAAGAGGAACATCACCTCAAGGTCCAATGGATAAAATTGGAATTTAATTAAATTAAGGAGACATTTGCAAAGCTAGAACAGCCAAACCTGCTCCCAGTGACACGACATGCTCCCCATCCGGACACACGGAGATACCGGTCCCTCCAGTACCTCCCAGCCCACAGCCAGGCCCACTTCTCCACAATTCCCAGGAATGAGGGTTTTCCTCTCTCCTCCTCTTTCTCTCCCGTGGCCCCCTCAGCCGGCCGTGGGGCCGGTCCGTGTGTCCGGGTGCAGGCGGATCTCCACCAGCCGGACAGCGCGGAGCAGCACGGCCAGCTGGGAGCACACCCGGGCCACCACGTCCAGCACAGGATCCGCCAGGTCCCGGATGCCCCCCAGCACCTTCAGCAGGAAGAGCAGGAGCGGCTGCAGGAGGCTGTGGAACGCCGCTGCCAGGAGGGGCTTCAGGACGTGGTCGCCAATGGCTGTCAGGACACCGACCACCAGCGCCTGGATTTGGGATGAAATCCTGGGTTTGAGGGATATTTGCCAGTGGGAGTCACCAAAAATGGGCTGAGACACAAAAATTCCGCTATAGGAGGGGAAATTTGGGATAGCAGGAACCAGAAGTTTCTTCTCCTGACACTGAAGGATTTTGATGTCCTCAGCCGCTGCTCCGGCCACATCTCCATGGGAATGGGGCGGCTCACCTGGACCACGGCCTCGCCGAGGAAGCGGATCAGCTCCACGAGGAAGAGGCTGAACACGCTGACCAGGCACCGCGGGACGGAGAAGAATTCCCGCAGCTTCCGCTGAACCGTCCACTCGGAGCTGCCGTGGAGGAAACGGGATGTCAGAGCCGGAGCACCGACCCACTGAGGGAATGAATCCCAAAGAGGATCCAGCACCACATCCCAGCTCCACAGCCCAGCCACAAAATTTGGGATGAGAAAGCGCTGGAGCCATGTTTCCACAGGCTCTCCCTGTATGGCCAAACCCAGCTGCAGTAGCCCCAAAACCAAATCCCTCGGGATGGCACCCAGAGCACAGCTGGCCGGGAGCCCGGGAAGTGCCAGGCCAGCTCCAGGGAATCCCGTCCAACACCACCCCGGGAGCGGCTCCGGCGTGGGCAGGGCTGAGGCCGGGGCTNGCTCCCGGGAGGCCACGCCATAGGAGAGGGGAGAGAGGAAAGGGGAGAAGAAAAAGGGGAAAGGGCAGAGGGAGCAAGACAGGGGGTGGTCGGAGCCCCAAAGTGTGGCTCAGTCCCGGCACCAGCCCCTCCAAGGGTCTGTAAAACACACCCAGAGCTTTGCTCCCATCATTCCACTCCTCAGCCACCTCATCCCGATGGGAAAACACGCCCCAAACTGTGCCCCAGAACGAGTTATCGGGAACACAGACAGGGTGGCAATCCCTTATTTTTCTGATTGCCCCCAAATCCCGGGCTATCCCGTGCCACTGGCTCTGGAGACCACCCTGGGGTGCCAGGGAGCCAGGAAAAGCTGAGGAACAGACTCCGGGCACCTCCGTGGCAGCAGAACCCACCCGGCTGCAAGAGGCCACATGGGGAAGTCCTTCCCATTGGGAAACCAAGCTTTCCAGGCAGGAAGAGGAACATCACCTCAAGGTCCAATGGATAAAATTGGAATTTAATTAAATTAAGGAGACATTTGCAAAGCTAGAACAGCCAAACCTGCTCCCAGTGACACGACATGCTCCCCATCCGGACACACGGAGATACCGGTCCCTCCAGTACCTCCCAGCCCACAGCCAGGCCCACTTCTCCACAATTCCCAGGAATGAGGGTTTTCCTCTCTCCTCCTCTTTCTCTCCCGTGGCCCCCTCAGCCGGCCGTGGGGCCGGTCCGTGTGTCCGGGTGCAGGCGGATCTCCACCAGCCGGACAGCGCGGAGCAGCACGGCCAGCTGGGAGCACACCCGGGCCACCACGTCCAGCACAGGATCCGCCAGGTCCCGGATGCCCCCCAGCACCTTCAGCAGGAAGAGCAGGAGCGGCTGCAGGAGGCTGTGGAACGCCGCTGCCAGGAGGGGCTTCAGGACGTGGTCGCCAATGGCTGTCAGGACACCGACCACCAGCGCCTGGATTTGGGATGAAATCCTGGGTTTGAGGGATATTTGCCAGTGGGAGTCACCAAAAATGGGCTGAGACACAAAAATTCCGCTATAGGAGGGGAAATTTGGGATAGCAGGAACCAGAAGTTTCTTCTCCTGACACTGAAGGATTTTGATGTCCTCAGCCGCTGCTCCGGCCACATCTCCATGGGAATGGGGCGGCTCACCTGGACCACGGCCTCGCCGAGGAAGCGGATCAGCTCCACGAGGAAGAGGCTGAACACGCTGACCAGGCACCGCGGGACGGAGAAGAATTCCCGCAGCTTCCGCTGAACCGTCCACTCGGAGCTGCCGTGGAGGAAACGGGATGTCAGAGCCGGAGCACCGACCCACTGAGGGAATGAATCCCAAAGAGGATCCAGCACCACATCCCAGCTCCACAGCCCAGCCACAAAATTTGGGATGAGAAAGCGCTGGAGCCATGTTTCCACAGGCTCTCCCTGTATGGCCAAACCCAGCTGCAGTAGCCCCAAAACCAAATCCCTCGGGATGGCACCCAGAGCACAGCTGGCCGGGAGCCCGGGAAGTGCCAGGCCAGCTCCAGGGAATCCCGTCCAACACCACCCCGGGAGCGGCTCCGGCGTGGGCAGGGCTGAGGCCGGGGCTCCCTCTCACGGCCACGAGGCGATCCGGGAGACACATCCCAGTTTCTGTTTCCAGAAAAACACGAGGTGAAGAGGGCAGACTGTGCCAGGCTGGGAGGAAACCCCGTCCCGCCGGTCCCCGTCCATCCTGCCCGCGGGAACGCGGCAGCGGAGCCGGTTCGGGGGGAAGGAGCGACTGGGGCAACCCAAACCCTGAGGTTTTCCTCCGTTTTCTTCCCGTGACCGAACTCCCGGAGTTCCGGCCCAGACGTTCAAGGCCCTTCCCACCCGGGGTCCCGCTCCAGAGAAACTCCCTCCTTGCAAGACCCAAGCAGACACCGGAGTGGGATCCTTGGGGAAATATCCCCTCAGCATCCCACAATCGGCATCTTTTGTGCCTTTCCCCGTCTGGGATCAAGCCCCGTCCTGCGGCCGGATTCACCCGGGCTGCAGCTGCCCCTCGGGATCAACCGGGATCCCAGGAAAAGGAGGGGACAGGGCAAGGGCAGCCGGAGTGGTGTGACGAGCCGCAGAGCAGCGATCCGGCTGGGAATCCACCGGGACACCTGCTTTTGTCCCCTGGGAATCCACCGGGATGCGACCCCCGACCCCCAGGAATCCACCGGGATCTACTCCCCCCCCGCCCCGAATCCACCGGGACTGCCCCGGGGACACCCGAACAGCCCCTCGCGGCAGCGATGAACGGGCTCGTTCCCCCCCAGGGGAGGGGGATCCCGGTACCTCCTCCGGTTCCTCCTGCCGGGGCGGGGCGGGGGCACCGGGGGGGCCCGGGGGGCACCGGGGGGCCCCGGGGTGCGGCGGGGGCCGCCCGGCGCCATGGACAGGCCACGCCCCCCGAAAGCCCCGCCCCGACACCCCGCCCACCATCACGGCCCCGCCCCGCGTTACCGGGCAACGCCCCCAGACGGGCGCGTTTCCCGGCAACGAGGGGCGGGGCCGAGCGGGGGCGTGGGCGGGCTCGGAGATGAGTGACAGCGAGAGCGGCCAATCACAGCCCTCAGAAAAGGTTCCCGCCCACAGCGGGGATCCCCGCGCATCACGTGGAGAGGGATATGCAAATGTATGCAAATCGTATGCTAATGAGGGTCTGCCCGTGCGGCGGGGGGGGGGCGACAACCGGGGAGAGGAGGAGGCGGGACCCAGGAGGGGGATGGGGGGGGCACACAGGG